TTTTTAGTACACTTCTAAGCAAGTTAGGATTTTCTGCTTTTCACCACGTGAAAAAGCATCTCATCTTCCATCCGAATCAACCAAAAAGTGAAAATTGATTTTTTGACACCTAAGCCCCCTTTCCGTAGACCAGGTCACATTTATTGCGTAGAACAAACTAAAGGGCTGCTTGATACGAAATTAATATGCTGGTATTTATATATAAGGACCACCCTAATGTAAATATATGCAATTTTTATAGCCTGTGGCGACCTTAAGTTGAGCTTTTATGTGCCTGAATAACTTGTTACACGAGCGGCACCGACAATCAGTAAACATGCGTATCTTTATTAAGCCCGGAAAGGGCAAAGGGTTTCGGACACGCGGCTAGAGCAGATCTCTGTTCGTGCGCGCGACCCGGTTCCTTAGCCACTCGTCATGCCAAAACCAAGCAGGTTTTCAAAAAAAAAGGCGGACTGAAACAACAGCCTTGGACTAAGCTAGTTAGATCTATTAGAAAAAGTCCTCAACAATTACAACCACATCTACCACTATTAACCTTAGGGCACCTCCTGGTACGGTAAGTGGAAAGGCGTGCTACTCTCACAAAGGTGGAAAATACCGAACGTCCCTGAGGTGAAAACAGTCCCCCACTTTGATAACCTGTGGTTGGGTCAAAGACTTCACCTCAGCACACCCAACAAATTTGATGTACCGATCGCCTGCCCACTTCACCCTTCAAGAAGATTGCCTCGTGAAACAGTAGCACGAGATCCGACCTCATCATATATGGACGCTAACTAAGGCCATTGTAGATCCATGGGGGCTTCGATCGATAAAACAGCCCAAGCCTACCCAAGAGGTCGGATGAAATTGATTTCAGTCCGAAGAATCGCATCAAGTGGCATGGCGAGAGCTTGGATTGGGCGATCGGAACCAGTGGAAACCTTGGAGATTCTGCAAGTAAATACGGAGCAGCTGGATCGATAAAAAAAATGCATTTAGGTGCATATGTCAATTTCGGGAAGATTAAGTTTTTTGTATATTGAACGTAGCAAAAAAAATCCTCTGAAATTCCTCTGAGGCACTCTAATATACACGCAAAAGTTCGGCTAACTAGACATACATATCGTCGTTTAAACTGCAAAACAGCGTATCAACAAAATGCAAAACCGCATATGTGAGGTTGCATAAATTATTTTCTAGAGAGTAACAACACTCATATTTCAAAATCGTTCTCTGTTTTGTAAAGCAATCGCACTTCAGCCTAGTATATTTCAGAACGAATGGATAAGGATTGAACCAAGAGCTTGTGTGAGCAAATCCAATTTTTGGCAGCCAGTGTCAGTAACGCGGTTTTGCAAAAGGACGATACGCGGTTTTGTACTTTAAACGACGATATCTATGTATAAGGCTATCTAATNCGTTCTCTGTTTTGTAAAGCAATCGCACTTCAGCCTAGTATATTTCAGAACGAATGGATAAGGATTGAACCAAGAGCTTGT